CTTACGGTATGTAGTGAAGGCAGTACTCAGAGGAAAATTTACAGCAATAAATGCCTATATAAAAAAAGAAGAACGATCTCAAATTAACAGCCTAACAACAACTTCGGGAACTAGAAAGCAAGGAGCAAACTAAGCCTAAACCTACCAGAAGAAAGGAAACAACAAATATCAGAGCAGAAATAAAATCGAAAACAGAAAAATAGAATCAATAAAACCAGAAGTTGGTTCTTTGAAAATATCAATAAAACTGATAAAACTTTGGCTAGTCTAAGAAAAGATGCAAGTAACCAAAATAAAAAATGAAAGCGGGGACATTACAACTGTCCTGATAGAAATAAAGAGAATTATGACAGAATATTACGAATAACTGTATGGCGATAAACTAGATGAAATGGACAAATTCTTAGAAGCACACAACCTACCCAAACTGACTCAAGAGGAAACAGAAAGTCTCAACAGACCCATAACAACCAAAGAGACTGAACTAGTAATCAAACATCTCCCAACAACAACAGCAAAAGTCCTGGACCAGATGGCTTCACTGTGGAATTCTACCAAACATTCAGAGGAGAACAGACACCAGTACTGTTTAAACCCTTCCAAAAGACAAAGAAGGAAGGAAGATTCCCTAATTCATTCTATGAGACAAACATAACCCTGATACCCAAACCAGACAAAGACACCACAACAAAAGAAAAATGCAGGCCAACATCTCTTATGAATATAACTGCAAAAATCCTCAAAAAAATACTAGCAAACAGAATCCAACAGCATATTAAAAGAGACACCATGACCAAGTGGGATTTATTGCAGGAATGCAGGGATGGTTCAACAGTAGAAAATAAAGTTTTAATACACCACATCGATAGAACAATGCGTAAGAACCACATGCTCATCTCTATGGATGCAGAAAAAGCATCTGATAAAATCCAACATCCTTTCTTGATGAAAACCCTAAAGAAGATCAGAATATAAGGTAAATTCCTTAATATGATTCAAGGCATATACGAAAAGTCAACAGCCAAAATTATACTTAACTGAGAGCTTTCCCCTTGAAATCAGGAACAAGACAAGGGTGCTCGCTCTCACCACTTCTGTTCAATATTGTATTAGAAGTTCTAGCCAGAGCAATAAGACAAGAAAAAGAAATAAAAGATTGGAACAGAAAAAGTAAAATTATCTCTATTCATGGATAATATGATCCTATATACAGAAAATCCCAAAGAGTCCACAAGAAAACTTTTAGAGCTAATAGAGGAATTTAGCAAAGCTGCAGGGTACATGCTCAACACATAAAAATCAGTTGGGTTTCTATGCATCAGCAATGAGAAATCTGAAAGGGAAATTAGCGAAACAATTCCGTTTATAATATCATCTAAGAGAATAAAATACCTAAGTATAAATCAAAGCAGGGATGTGAAGGATTTATACAATGAAAACTACAGAACACTGCTGAAAGAGATTAAAGGAGACTTAAATAAATGGAAAGATGTTCCAAGTTGATGGGTTGGAAGACTTAATATCGTTAATGTGTCAATACAACCCAAAGCGATCTATATGTTCATTGCAAAATCCCAATCAAAATTCCAAAAGCATTCTTTACAGAAATAGAAAAACCAATCCTCAATTTTATATGGAATGGCAAGAGGCTCTGAACAGCTAAAACAATTTTGAAAGAGAATAACAAAGTAGGAGGTCTCACACCTCCTGATTTTAAAACATATAGCTACAGTAATAAAACAGCCTCATACTGGTATAACAACAGACACAGACCAATGGAACAGAAATGGGAGTCTAGAAATAAACCCACACACATCTATGGTTGACTGATTTTTGACAAGGGTACTAAGTCCATTCAATAGGGAAAGAAGAGTCTCTTCAATAAATGGCGCTGGGAAAAGTGGATTTCCACATGCAGAAAAATGAAACAGGATCCATGCCTCACACCATACATAAAACAAATTCAAAACTGATTAAGGATCTAAATGTGCAAACTAAAACCATAAAATTCTTAGAAGAAGAAGCAGGGGCAATGCTGTCAGACCTAGCTTTCAACAATGGATTATCTAATATAATAAGAAAGGCACAAACAGCAAGAGACAAAATAAATGAGACCTCATAAAAATTAAAAACTTTTGTTCATCAAGAGACTTAAAAAAAAAAAAAGGAAAAGACAAGCTAACAACTGGGAGAATGTCTTTGGAAACCATATATACGACAAGAATCTAATTAACCAAGAAATATATAAAACTTTGACAACTTAACAAAAAGACAAATAACCCAATCATAAAATGAGCAAAACACTTGAATAGACATTTCACCAAATAGGACATTCGAATGGCCACCAAACGCATGAAAAGATGCTCAGTGTCATTAGCCATCAGACATGCAAATCAAAACCACAATGAGATACCATTTCAGTCCCCCTAGGATGGCTAAAAAAAAAAAAAGTAAAAAATGGTGAGGATGTGGGGGAAATTGAAACCCTCTTCCAGTGCTGGTGGGAATGCAAAACTGTACAGCTGTTGTGGAAAAGCCATTGTGTGGCAGTTCCTCAAAATACCAAAATAGAACTACCATATGACCCAGCAATTCCACTACTAGGTATACCCAACAGGCCTGAAAGCAGAGGCTCAAAAAGAGACATGTACAGCAATGTTCATTCACAATAGCCCAAAGGTGGAAACTACCTAAATGCCCATCAAGAGATGAATGGATAAACAAAATGTGGTACATACATACAACGGAATACTACTCAGCCAGTAAGAGAAATGAAGTCTTGATAAACGCTACAGTATGGATGGAGCTTGAAGACTTTGTGCTGAGCAAAATAAGCCAATCACAAAAGCACAAATATTGTATGACCTCACTTATATAAAAAGACAAGAAAAGGCAAATGTATACAGACCGAAGTTTATTAGTGGTTATCATCAGGGGCAGGAAGAAGAGGGAAAAGGGGGGTTAACGGTGATGAAAAAATCGCACTGATTAAGCGTAGGGCTGCACAGCCGATTATTTTAATTGTTGTAAGTTGTACACCTGTAAAAAGTTGAATTGGCAAAAGTTGTGTAATATATTTACAACAACGACGAAAAGTAGCTGCTGAGGCTGCTTATGTACAACCAGACACCTAAAGGGATTTGCTCGCTTGGTTGGGAGGCTCAGGGTCATGGTTCCATAAGACTTCCCAGTTAACTGGCCTACTGTCGTTTAGTGCTTCTGTTCTACCTCCTGGTTTGCTGCACAGCGCCTGGGGTCTTAAAAGCTTGCAAGTGGCCATCCAAGGCACAACTGGTCTCTATTCACCTGGAGCAACAGAGGAAGGAGAGTCACGAATAGGAGAGGGATATGTAATGTGCGGCTAACTGCCTCCATGAACAACGGCCTTCTTTGCCATGAGACCAGAACTGGATGGAGCCCAGCTACCATTGCTGAACATTTTGATCAAAGATTCCACAGAAGAATCCTGATCATAAGGGGAAAAATACAGAATTCCAACTACTCATGGACTCCAACTTTCTGGAACCATAGAGGCTGGCTGAACCCCTGAAGCTACTGCCCTGAGATAATCTTCAAATCTTAAACTAAAAGTTATCTCCTGAAGTCACCTTAAAACTGAACAATAGTTTAGCTTAACTAATAAAAAATGTCTGCCTTGAGCATTATCCTCTTTTAGAACTAGCTATATGGGTTCCAAATGACAACAGTAACTTGAAAGATTAGACAGGAACCTTATGGGGCAGTGAGTTTATGTTAATGAGGGAGGGACACCTCAGAAAAGGAGGGTGAGAATGGTTACACAATTCAAAGAATGTTATCAGTGTCACTACACTGTACATGTAGAACTCATGAATTAGTGTTATGCTCTGCTGTGTATATTCTCAACAACAAAATAAAAGTTTAGGAAAAAAAAATCTACTTGGGAATCTCTGGAGCTTGACTACAGGATCTACTGTTGACAGCAGATTCTGGGACCCGGTCCTTTTGGATGCAGGTATGTGGTGAGGTCTAAGTCAGGGAAGCTCAAACTCCCGGGGCTACCTGGCAAGCTCTTCTCAGATTTACAAACTAAGATCTACAGCCCCTGATACTGCATTTTTTTGTTGTTGTTTAAAAAGAATTTAAAAAAAAAAAAAAAAAAAAAGCAGCACTTAGGAACGAGTTCCTGCAAAAAGATTTAAATAAACAACTGCTCTAAAGCTCTCAGCAAACCAGCATTTTTAAAGGGGTGATCATATATCCAAAACCACAAACCTATCCTTTTACACATATCGGCTTTATGGTGTATTTGAAATAAGAATTTCTCAGGCCTTTTATAAGGAGCCTTGGTGGCACAATGGTTAAGCGCTCAGAGGGGAACTGAAAAATCGCCTGGTTTGAGCCCACCAACCACTCTGTGGGAAAAAGACCTGGCAAACTGCTCCTGTAAAGATTACAGCCTAGGAATCCCTATGGGGCAGTTTTACTCTGTTCCATAGGGTCGCTATAAGTTGGAATTGACTCCATGACACACAAGAACAGGCCTTTTATACTTTTCATAAACTAATGGAGGAAGTCATGAAGAATAAACCCCTACAGACACCCCCATTCCCCGTTACTGAACCTGGATCTCCATAAAACAGAAATGGTCTTTAGAGACTGACTGTGATTTTCAGTGAAGAAGCCATGTGCTCTGGCCTCTTCCCTCCATCCTGTTTCCGTATTTCTAACTTGTACGTGTTACTCATGATGCGGATGAATGTGTGCCTACAGAGACCAGGGTGGCTCTATCACTGCGGTTTAAGACTGACATCAACAGACAACTCATGTTCCCTCTAGTTACCATCCGAAAGAATGGCTACAACATCAGCTCTTCTAAAACCAGGTGTCACTTTGCACAGAACACCCGCCCACCCCCCGTGGCCCCTCTGTGGTTATTACCATCATACAATTAACTCCTGAATGTACTTAACATTTTTTCATGATCTCTCATTTTTCGCTGACAAAAGTACTAGGTCCAGAAAAACAAAGAAAGAGAATTTTTATTAGCATTGTTACAGGCAATGCATTACATATGGACTGATCCTTAAAGTGTACAACCCCAACCAAGCTGTAAGCAGACAAATCAGCAGAGTGAAATCTACATTGTACACAAGTGCAGAAACAGGATCACCCTGAACTTCAAACAGAAGACTGGAAATCACTTTACAAAAAAGTAAATAAAAATAACACCCATTTTATATTTAAAAAAGTACCAGCTCTTAAGTGGCAGAGCATCAAAAATACCAAAGGATACACCCAATTAACTGTGTAATGCTTGTATGCTGAAGTGTTCACCCCCAAACAGGTCAAGCTTGTCCCCGTTTTTAAAGCTTTATTTAAGCATTTCTTATTTTCATCTTTTGGAGTACTTAAGCTTTTCTTTCTCTGCTATTCTGAATTTCTTAAATGTGTCAGTCTAACAATTAGCTAACCTTCATCAGTTCTAAGTATTAACACTGAAGTTTTTCCCTTTGTAAGGCTTAAATCTGAACACAATAAAGAATGAAGAAACCAAACACCACAATCTTAGAAAGTCAAATGACAGTGGAGCCAGTGCCAATTTAGAAAAGCACTCTTACCTTACCTTAGAGTTCTACTTTGGTAAATACTAATATTTAACCAGTTAGCAAAATATTTAACCAAGTTAGCAAAATTAACACCGTCATTTCAATAATTACTCTTTTGTGCATAGTAAATGTTGCAAGATGAACTCCACATTTGATAAAGCAGACTGGGAAAACAGTTTGCAAGAAAGTATGCCTCCCTTTCAATACCAATTTAAGCTCAGGGAAAATGAATATAGACCTCTTGCAACTGCTGTTGATCTATGGTGGTGGTGGTGGTGGAGAGAGCAAGTGTGAACGCTAAATCGTCTGATACCCAGCGTGACTTCTCTTCCTGCCAATGAGATAAGCTATTAGGACCACCAGGACAAGTCCTGCAAGGGCGCCGCCCACAGCGATGGGAATCAGCATGTTGTTTTCATCCAGCTGACATTCTTCCACTGAAAAGAAAAACAAGAACGCACCACAGGGTCACATTTGTTTTCACCATACAGAAAACGAACAAACAGGACAGAGGAGAACTGCCCCACAGGGTTTCCCAGGAGGAGCTGGTGGGTTCCAAGTGCTGACCTTTTGGTGAGCAGCTGAGCACTTAACCACTGCACCACCAGAGCTCCTTTCACTCTTTAGACCTCATAAATAGGCCTGTCCCTCCTCCTGACCTCTTCCCACACTCCAGCAGGGAAAGAAAACTAAACCAAGGCAGGAGAGTCCAGATCCTACTAACAATCACTTAGAGAAGCCTCTAGAAGAGAACGGAGCTTTCTGCGTGGCTATGAAATTATGGAAATACATGGTCCCACAAAGGAGCCCTGGTGGCACAGTGGATAAGCGCTCAGCTGCTAGAGGTCAGTGGTTTACCCACTGGCCGCTCCGCAGGAGAAAAGACCTAGCATTTTGCTCCGGTAAAGATTCCAACCTAGAATATCCTATAGGGAATCTACTCTGTCTTATAGGTCACTATGAGTCAGAATCAACTCGACGGCACACAATGACAACATGGCCCCACAACATCAGAATCCAACAACTGCCTCTCAGTTGTCACCGCAGCCACTTGCCTGTGCCCTGCACAGGGCCACTAAGCACATCAGATCGATACATTTTATAGTCAACTTTCACAGAGGGAAGAGCCACGACTGTTTCTTAAAATGACATTACCATATTCTCACACTCTGTTGTGTCCGTGCCTGTAAGGTAATGAATGCTGGGTCTTTCTAAAACAAGGTAACATAGGAAGGGGAATTTTTCTCTAAAAATCTTAGACTGTGAAAGGGAAAACAGCTCTTTGTAGAGAAAAAAGGAGTCTCCACCCCCACCCCCTACTCCCAGTACAGAAGCTATTAAATATCCAAAATAGAACCACAGAAAGTCAGGACTGTGGAAGAGTCTACAATGCTTCAATTCCTACCATCACCGTAAACATCGCAATCAATGCTACCTACCAGATCCAAACTTGTCACCTTCAACCTTGAAAGCCTGGACCCATACTTTGAATACGTTGACAGAGAACGCCTTGGTGACTTGAATGCTTTCCTCAGCGTTACACCTGTACGAATTCCCAACCGTGGCCTGAAGTGCTCTCAGAGAGCTGTTGACAGCTTTAAAGGTGGGCTCTGCAAAGGCAGCATTTAAGAAGTCTGGTTATTCTGGGAAGTCTTGGGTGGGGAGGTGTGGCCAGGGGGACCGTGGAGTCTTACCTCTGGCATCAGGAAGAGTTGTATTTAACTGGATTTCTTGAAGGAAAAACCGGCTAGAACTTGCATTCTTTAAGAGAAAAAAGATAATCCTGAATTCAACTCACCAGATTCAATGTTTTTCGTCAAAATTAAATGCCATTTGGTAACAAATCTGACCTTCCAGATTTCTAGCTCTAGAATGCAGCTACAAAACGTTCTGTCTATAAAAAGCATCATATAAATCTGGAGAACACACATTCTCGTAAGTTCCTTGCAGAACCTTGTTACCAAATCAGAAGAGTCTTTGCTAAAATGGGGGCTAAAGGAGCTATATTTTAAAAAACGAAACTTTTTCTGAATGGTAGAGGAAAGCATTATGAGGGAAGTTAAAAAGCATAAGCAACCCAAATGCTGATCAGTTCATTTGCACAGCATATTAAAAATATTTACCATGAGTGACATTTATATTCTCCATATATTATTTTGCTAACTTTACAGGATTCTTCCCAGGCAGGTATAAAGAATAGAAGGTACAGGGCACAGCAACACTACCACTGAGTAAAAGGGGAAGAGGACAAGCATCTCCTGACAGAGCGCAGTCTGACATGGAGGAGAAACGCACATAATGGGAGGGTCCTTATCATCACACAGGCTGAGAGCTGCCCCGAGTTGTAAGCTCTACCTGCTAATCAACCTTCCCCTTCTCTGCACCCCTAGCTTGGAGTGCTCACTAGTTCAGGTGTTAAGAGTAGCTGCCTGGCACACGGTGGGCACGCATTAAATGCTGAGTAAGTCAATGACGACACATGTTAACAACAAAAGGGGGAACTGAGGAACCAAAACAACCTTCAACACAGAGAAGACAGAAAAAAATGGAACAGACTCCTTTTTCTTCAGGCAGAGCTGTAAATCTTAGGGCTCTGCTGGCAAGACGGTCTGTGCTCAGGCTCAGCTTCTGCTGCCACCAGCATGCTGCAGCGATTGCTTTCTAACGGAGAAAATAGTGACCCTGCTGGGAACTACTCAAGTACATGAAAAAAATCGTACAAAGTAAATTACAGTCAAATGCATGTTAAGAAATCAAGGCAAGTGGACACCAAAATCCCCAGTGTTAAAAAGAAGAGAGGTCCTCACCATTCCAAAACTGAAGACCAGCAGAGTGACAACTCCCCCTCGGAGTTCCAGAACCACTGAATGAGAGGTGCAGCTCCCACTGGCTTTGGTGTCATTTGGGTTGATGTTGAAGACTCTTGTCACAGTCTGAACAAGAAAAACAAACCAGTTACCACTCCATTCTAGGCCCTGGCTCCTCCACACTCTCAAAAATAACAAAAACAATCCTTAAACAGTAACTTCGAGACCACCATTAATTTTAACCAAAACCAGAAGAAAAACATTAAAATACACTACTGAAGATTTCTGGTTCCAAAACATTTTTTCCGCGGCTACTTCTGCCTGCTACGTGAATGATGCGGCATACACACCCTCATATCCTTCTCACCCCTCACACCCTCTTCAGGGGCACACATTTTAAAATTCACTGCAAGCTATTTGTCACCATTAAAAGAGAAAGGTTTATTTCAAAAGAAAAGCATACACATAATACTTAAATGTTTGGGTGCTAAAAGTTCAACCAAATTTAATGTTCCAGATCAGGGGTCAGCAAATTTTTCTAAAAAGTGCCAAATAATAAATATCTGAGGCTTGGTGGCCATCCCATGTGGTCTCTGTCCCCACTACTCACCTACGCTGCTTTAGAGGAAAGCAGCTTTAGGGAATGTGTACAAAGATGGGTATGGCTGTGTTCCAACAACATTTATTTACAAAAACAGGCACACTAGTTCTTTTTCTGCATGATTCATGTTCTAAAAGGCTGTACACTATAAAGCTGAATTCTCCTGATACTGATTTGTAGGAATATGCCACTGGCTGATGTACAAAAAATAAAAATGCCCCCAAGATAATTCTTTGCATACCGTGTTGTCATTCTTCTCATAGGTGATGTTCAGCTGTATCCCCATGTTGGCAAGCAGACAAGTTCCATTATTGCCACTCACATTGTACTTGGACACAGACGGGTTTTCTGGCACTGGAGAAGGTGGAGGACGCGTAGTAGGCTTTGGACTTGGAGGTGCTGTTGTTGGAGAAATATCATCTTGCTTACAGTGCGTCTCTGGAGGAATATTGGAAATCAATCATTTTGTTCAGAGGAAGGAAATTTAAAACCTAGATTTCTTATAGCTGCTAATACTTATAATAAAATCCAGACTCTGAACTTACAATTTAAATCACTCTTTGAACTCACTGTAGACGCTAGCAGACTTTCTCAAATAGTCCCACAGAAAATGATGTAATTATTTTCTCAATTCTCCCAAGGATGGTACATCACTGAATACCCAGGGCTTCCAACCTGTTTATTCTGGTTTGAAACCCTGCTGAAAATCTGCATTTCCACCCAGATATACTGAAATCAGAACTACATTTTAACAAGAGCCTCAGGTTGACTCTTACGTGTAATAAATTTTGAGAACCACTGTGCTACTAGTGGTTCTTAGAATTGGTCCCCTACCAGCAGCATTAGCACTGCCTGGGAACTTGTTAGAAATGCAAATTATCAGCAGGGGTTCTAACCAGACCAAACTGGTTGGAAGCACTGCTAATATTCTTCTCGATGTATAGGACAGAAGTGGAAACCCTGGTGGTGTAGTGGTTAAGAGCTACGGCTGCTAACCAAAAGGTCAGCAGTGCGAATCCACCAGGTGCTCCCTGGAAACCCTATGGGGCAGTTCTCATCTGTCCTATAGGGCTGCTGTGAGTTAAAACTGACTCAATGGCAATGGGTATGGTAGGATAGAAGTTAAATCATTACATGTAACAGATGTCTCAGGGCATTAGGGTGTAACTGTCCCACAGAACCAGTTAGGAAGGCCTGCAGGGTATCAAGAGAAAATTTTTCAAGCACAGTCAATTCACCAGTCTCCGTAATCCTACTGCCATACAACAAATCTAACTGGAGGTTCTTCTTTATCTCACCCTCTAGGCAACAGTCACCTCAATGTGGCCGAACAGTGTTTATTGCTTTACCTTCTTTTGCATGACAAACCTTTGTATTTTGGAGGTCAAGAAGAATACCTTTAACTCTGTCATGTACGAACTAAAGCAGTTATTTGGATAACTACTTTTTGTTATTTGGATAACTGATTTTGGATAGTCAGCCAATGTACCCTTGGAAATGGTGATAAAATTCTACTAATATTATCAGCTCCTATTGTGTGCACTAAAAACCACCATAGAGAGAACAAAGGGTGGTTGAGTTCATGGGTCTTAAGTCTCCTAAGAGAAACACATTAAATACACAAACACATTATTACCAGTCAGTCTGTTATGAAGAAAAGGGTCCTGTGAGAGAGAAAAGCTGAGGAGGTCCTAAGGTAGGATGGGGAGTTCAGCAGGCCTGTCTGAGGACATGACATGTGAGCTGAGACTAAAAGATGGACAGGGGCTAGCTAGCAGTTTGGGGTTTTTACTGGGGTGGGTGTGGGGAGGACACGGGCAAGCATTCCAGTTTAGGGAGAAGGCACAATACACGTGTTACGTACGTGAAGACCCTCTAACAGGAGAGACCTGGTACAATCCAGGAATTGAGAGTGGCTGGAGTGCAGTGAGGCCAGAGCAGAGTGATGGGGGGGGGGGGGTTCCTGGTGTGGTCACAGGGGCTACACCACGCCCTACAGGACAACTGAAGGAGTCTGAAATTGATCTGTTCCTCAGAATTTGACTGGTCCACCAAGACTGCTTGTTACAAAAATTTATATTCAAAATTAAGACATACTGATCCAAAAATACAAAGGTAACTGAACATTTTCTACAGGAGCAGATACACCCCTTTCGTGACAGACTACAATTAAGGTTCTAAAAAAACAAGATACTTGGCACCATTAACCTCAACACTAGGTTCTTTCTTTCACCACCTTGTTTCTGCGAACATTCAATTTCTGTCCTTTCAACATTTCCCTCAGCTGAGTGATGGGAGCCAGTCCAAACTACCTCTGTGGGAGGAAGCCCATCAGGAATTTGCTGTGTAATTTTACTGATCACATTTTTATTTCTTACTCAAAGCTAAAAATGAAGTTTTATTTTAACTCTTTTTCAGTTGCCAACTCCTGCTCTCACATTGTATCTACTTGGGAAAGGGAAGAGACAGAAAACTTTGATCTGCTGTAACATATATGCTATTTAATGCAGGATGCGAACAGTTCAACTCACTTAGGATGCTTTTACACAATTTGATCTTGTAAAGTAAAACCCCTTTCTAGGCATAATATATCAAAGGGGCCAAAAAAAAAAAGCTTATAGAGTAAACGTATTTGACCTTTGTTTAACAATGGTATGGCCAAAGTCATCAACTGGCCAAGTCCTAACCTATGATGTGCTGACAAATAGTGTTTGCTTCTTACTCTTGGGCTAGACTGTAAGTTGAAGTTATAGTCATACTTAAGTTAAATGTGCAAAAACAAATCAAAATTAAACAGTAAAAAAGCCAGAGTCCAAATTCTGGTCTCAATGGCCACACACTTACTTGACAATGATTTTATAATGTGTAACCCAGTCAATGTTCACTTTCCTATCTTGTTTCAGTAAAGCAGGTTACAAGACATCAAGTTTGAAACACACGGAACATACTCTTAGGTCTAACTACCAGTCAGAAAAATGATGGACTTTAGAAATCTGTATGGATAAAATGCCCTCTTCCTTCCATCTAAATATAAACGGAAAAACCACACTCTTTAATCAATACATTTCTTCATTCCTTCCTTAAATAAATATTTAAGTACCTACTACAAACACCAAAGTGTTCCTGCAGAAGGTTCACAAGGCAGAAGGAGATACATAATCACAGATACAATGCACCAAAGTGTCAGTGCAACCCATGGGGGAAGGGTGTTGTCACAGAGGCCTCTGGGAAGACAATGGGGCCAGGGATCGCTACTGGGTTATTCTCAGTCTTCTCTGACAAGAAGATAACGGGAGAGGACACAGGGCTGCTTATCCTAAAGACTGCCTCCTTCCTGGTGCTCTTCTATGCTTTTCAAAAGCTCATATGCCCAGAAAACCTCAAATTATCATCTGGCAGGAGCAGATACTCAAATAAACCTGTATCTTGCAATTAAGAAGAGGCTCAAATGATAAGTGCCAATTCCTTCAATTTAAGCCAGACTATGAGTGAGACAAGGAATTAAAAGAATTCTGCAAAATTGGGTAGGAAGTACGATTTAGGATAAGCTATATTTAAAAGGAGTTTGTAACTTCTGATGGTCACTGAGGTGCCTTTTTGTTCATTCAGTAAGCACCTATATACCAAACAAACATTAAAGATAAAAAGGTGAGAGGGCTTCCAGCAAAATGGCGCTCTACGCAGAAGCACCACGCCGTCCCCCTACAGCAAAGATCCGAAAAACTAAGCCGAACAGAGAAAACAACAATCCTGAAACCCTAAAGCATCAGATGAAGAGATAAAGAACTCAGCCAAGCACCAAATGGAGTGAGAAAACTGGCAGAGAATGGAGAGCGAGGAGAGATCCACGCAGAAGTCCCCTACCAGCTAACACAGCGCGGATCCGCCATCTTGGACTCCTATTGGAGACGAGCAAACGGGGTACAAGAAAACAGCTTCAGGGAGCTTCCAGCGGGAGACAAAACAAGGGGTAATTTGCAATATACAATTTCCCACCCCCCACCCTTCTTCACCCCCACTCGGCCTCCTCTGCTTCCTGCGGCCACAATCTCTTGTCCGGGAAGCACCAGCTGCTTGGATTCCACCTGCCCGAATGGACCGGCTCTCTGAGTGCCATTTGCTGGCTGCTGGTGTTGCCTTTTTCCACTTCTTTTGACTTCTTCCTTACCTCTCACCACCTCCCCATCCTTTCGCTCAAATACCTGGCTCCAAGCGCCATCTCTCCTTCTTCCTGAGGGGCTGTGGAGCTCCGGTAATTTGTGATATACACTTTCCCACCCCCTACCCTTCTTCACACACACTCGGCCTCCTCTGCTTCCCGCGGACACAGTCTCTTGTCCGAGAAACACCGGCTGCTTGGATTCCACCAGCCTGCACTATCTGGCTCTCTGAGTGCCATTTGATGGCTGCTGGTGTTGCTTTTTTTCCGCTTCTTTTGATTTCTTCCTTACCTCTCACCACCTCACCCTCCTTTCGCTCAAATACCTTGCTCCATGCACCATCTCTGCTTCTTCCTGATGGGCTGCGGAGCTCCGTTCAAGACTGGAACTGTTTCCTGGTCTGCACTGCCGCGCTGGTGGGATGCTGGGGCTTTTGTTCATTTGTTTGTTTTGAACTGTTTGTTTTCTTTTCCTTTTCTTCAGTTGGGAGCCTGTCCTGGCCAGGCGGTTCTGCATGGCTTGGAAATTACCACCTCAGCTTGCACAGACGTGCAGGGGAATCCCTGAGGACATTTCTTTTTTCATTGGTTGTTCTGCTTTTTTTTTTTCTCTTTCGAGGGGGAGCTTTTCTTGTTCTTTTTTTAAATTTGGTTTTCTTTTCCCTCTTTTTGTCTTTCTTCATTACTCAGTTAGTTTCTCATCTCTCTATATCTTCCTTCTCTTTCTGTTCCCTGAATACCTGGCGTTGTATACCTCTACGACTTCTAGCCAGGCTGTACTGCAACACCTGAGAACAACTTCCCCAGACCTCACAGCCCCATCAGTGGGATCCCTGGGAACTTTGCCGTTCTTTAACCTTTCCTATTTTTATTTATTCATTTTTTTTTTCTTCCTCTTCCCCTTT